GGTGTAATAGGGTACCTTGATGTTAGTGGGTACAAATTGTTGCATGTTTTTAGTGAATTACTTTCGCCGTATCAAACTGGTTTTTTTTTGGTTTAGTTCTATTCCTTGCAAGTAATGGTATTAGTGGATGTGTAGCGTGTATGTAAACATCTTTAAAGCTTCTTAAAAATATATTTTGTTGGCAACTTTAACTTAATTAATGATCGAAACACATGTGGATTCAATACTATTTGTAGTGGTTACATGGCAAGTGTTGGGAGTTTGTAGTTTAGGGGAAGTTCCTAGTTTGATAAGGGATCGAGATGAATGTGGACAGCATCCAAAGAATCATTGCTTATAAATACGCTAAAAGATATTTGTAATCAGGGCTAGAAATCCCAAAATGGCGCGTTCAGATCAAGTTACTTGCACCACTTGGAGAAGACTTTATCAGATGCACTGGGCGAAACTGACCTATGTGTCACTCCACACATTGAGTCGAAGATAAAAAAACTAGAAGAAAACTTATGACATACTCTTCACCATGCTTAGCACGTTAGGGTTCGAGTGGAATGACGCAGAACAAAAGATAGATGTTGAAGGGAACAACGTTTGGGCTGAGCACGTAAAGGTACTGACTTCCCAACCCCACTAACATCGTCATTAAGACATTCACTAACGACCTGTTGTTTTCCAGAAAAACTGCAATGCAAAAGGAATGTGTGAGAAAAACTGGTCTTACTACAATGACTGGAGTATAATTTTTGGCAAACACACAGACGAGTATGCAAAGATTTAGAAGAGATGGTTGAGGGTGATGATACAGGAGATCAGGTGCATGATATTGAGGATGTCGCAAACACTGACGTAAACATGGCAGACACTAGAATGTTTAAAAGCATGCCTTAACATGGTGCTGCTGGACAAGGGAACACACCCACAAGCCGTAAACAATAGAGGAAGACAACTGGTGAAGTATCTGATGGCATTGCACGCATCATAAGTAAAATAATAAACATACTTGGTGACTATGTGTCGAGTTGTGGAAAACAACTCTCAAACATTGCTCAGAGGGGCGGTTACGAGTAAGATGCAGTTGAGGCGAGGCGTCAATTTAACGCAGAATTGAAAAAAATTGATGGCCTAACGATGGATCACTGACATAGGACGATTTACAAGATTACTAGTGACCCGATTAAGGGGGACCAGTTCATGAGCTTGTTAGAAAGTGAGAGACCAACATGACTTCTTGGCGTGCTATGGGGTAATACATATGATGGACAATTAGTACTTATTTTTACTCGCCTGTTTTGGAATCTGTTCACCGATGTGAAGTCTTCTACTCTTTGTTGTTGCTCCTAAGTTGTATGTGACAGTGGTATTTAGACAATGCAGAAGTATCATTTGACTGTTGATGTCATCACATTGTATTTCTTGATGGTTATTATATTTTGGATATTTAATGTTTGTTTTTTTAAACTGAAGTGAATTCCTTGTATTATTCACATTTCACAATAATCGTGACTTCAATAATAGGAATGAAAATGAGTTTAAAGAAGAAATGATATTTTGTGTTCAATGGTCGAAGAGTAGGAATTGTGGATACTTGGCAAGAATGCCACGACCTTTTCACTGGATATCCTGACACTTTGTACAAATCGTTTTCGTCGTATGCAGCTGCGCAAGAGGCCTTAGCAGAACATGTTTCCGCTAGAGTGATGGACCAAAATAAAAAACNAGAATGCCACGACCTTTTCACTGGATATCCTGACACTTTGTACAAATCGTTTTCGTCATATGCAGCTACGCAAGAGGCCTTAGCAGAACATGTTTCCGCTAGAGTGATGGACCAAAATAAAAAATCAATGCATACACAACAAGACAATATTGTGAATGATCCATGGCCCACTAGAGCACGTGAACGAATTCTCATGCCACACGAAATGGTTGAAAGAAAACCCTCTCAAGAAATTCAACCAGTCCCACAAAATGAAATTATGCTCGTTGTTGTAGCGTTCATATTAGATTTCAAAATTTGCAATATTTTAACCTCATTTGTGGGAAAATTTGTTTGATGGAACGATCATGTGCGATGATCATATTTCCTGAAATTTTTCTCATTAACTAATGCTATGTTTTTAATTTATGTATTCACTTTTATGGATAGGTATCAATAACCTAATGTNGTTTGATGGAACGATCATGTGCGATGATCATATTTCCTGAAATTTTTCTCATTAACTTATGCTATGTTTTTAATTTATGTATTCACTTTTATGGATAGGTATCAGTAACCTAATGTACAAATTTATGTTATTTATTTACTAATTTATTGCGCATTTTTTGTAATGGATATTATTATTGGACCATAGTTAAAAGAAATGCGACGATTAAGGCTAATACAAGATGAAGAAGATATTTTATTGGATTGCCTTATAGACCTTAAGTTGGAGAGGCGCAATTCTAACAAGGGTGAATTCCTCGAAAGAGGCTGGAGTTGTCTATGGGAGATGATAAGTGCACGTTGGCAAGCACCACAATTAAGTCTAGGACTAGTGATTGACGTAGTTATGTTTTGGAAAAGACGTCATTTTAAGATGAAAGATATGGAGGCTTTGGGGTTGTTTCATTGGAACAAAGAAAAACAAGTTTTTTTCCCAATTAATCCAGTAGAAGTGTCATTCTTAGAGGTTTATTTTTTGTTAGNGACGTAGTTATGTTTTGGAAAAGACGTCATTTTAAGATGAAAGATATGGAGGCTTTGAGGTTGTTTCATTGGAACAAAGAAAAACAAGTTTTTTTTCCCAATTAATCCAATAGAAGTGTCATTCTTAGAGGTTTATTTTTTGTTAGGTTTTTACATATGTATATTACTATACGAATTATTAAATACATGCGTCAATAAATCTAATATGTCATTTTTCGTAGGATGACACCTTCGTATCTCGAGCGTGTGTGCAGACTTGTCTCAATTACGAGATCTTTACAAAAATATTCGTGCCACATGGGGAAGGTGAAAATATATCAACAGCNATTAAATACATGCGTCAATAAATCTAATATGTCATTTTTCGTAGGATGACACCTTCGCATCTCGAGCGTGTGTGCAGACTTGTCTCAATTACGAGATCTTTACAAAAAATATTCGTGCCACATGGGGAAGGTGAAAATATATCAACAGTTTTCAGTGCTGGTTCCATTTCAGTCACGTCTCCATATAAGCCGATTGTGAACTTGATTATCATTGATGATTAATGTCATTAATAAATGTGAGCATTTTGTAACCAATATAATAATGTTTAATATTGTGTAACGAGAATATGTCTGTCCGCTTTAATGTAATTGGGAATGGATGAGTTTTGTGTGCATCTCCATATATGAAAATGTTAAAATGTTGCACCGTCTTGTTGGGTTAATATTTTATTGCGCTTTATTATAGTTATAAATAAATAGTTATTTTTTTATCAACATTCATGATTTTTTTCATAAGTTAAGAAGTAAAAATTAATCATATATTAAAACCATAAAGACACGAGAAAATGTATATAAACAAATATGAGTTTGAATTAGATTGATTAAGGGACACAATAGACATTTATATACAAAAATATTATCATAATAGTGATATATTCATGCGTATACCAAATATAAGTATGGACGAGATTGAATGTTAAATCTCATCTTTATAAAAAAAGGTTTGAGTTTGAAAGGATTTGAACAAATCAATCCAAACCCCTTCTAACAAACCAACCAAACAGCCCTAAGGCACGTACGACGAGGAATTGAGGTTTCAGTCTAACAACCACTGGCCTTCATATTTCCTTCAAGTCTTAGAAGGAGGCATCTTTCTCCTGGACGTTAATTCTACATTTTAACAGCCATGAAAGATATTTTTTTGTTTTTTTCAACGGTCGAGGGTATTCGAATCATTTTACGTGTATTTCGATTAATTTTTTTTTTCATTTTGATCAAAAACAAATCATCCATATCGAGATTAAGGTATTCATGAAAGATAAATTTATCATGACCTAATCCTAAGACCGGGATTACCAAAATTCAAACTTATAATATTTAGATTTAAAACTCGTCTCTATTATCATTTGAGTTACTCTTAGGATCCATGAAAGTTATTTGATACTGCCTTTAAACAACAATTTTAAAAAAATATGTATTGTAACTCCATTTCACATAGAAGTGACTGCTGCCCTATACCATCACCGGATCACCAACAAAGTAGTGATCATCACTCATGTAGATCATCAGTTTGTATATGAGAAACGCCTTTCTGGTTACATCTCTCCAGTGTTGCATTTGTCAAACATTACAACCCTAGGATTTTGATCAGTACATGATGTGTAAGACTAAAGTACCAGAAAAAAAAAAAAGGGGGGGGGGGGGGGGGGGGG